ATTTAGTTTAATCAAATTTGAACGAAGTATACAGATACACGTATTAAAATTAAAAAAAAAGTTATTGTTACAAAACATTTTAATGAATTGATTTTTCAATTGCCAATGTTAATGTACACATATTTATTTCACACATGTGATTCAAATACAGTTTAGTTTAACATACAAAGTGGAATTTCAAGAATGAAATACGTACATTAATCGGACACTGAATATTTTTTAATTGTACAAACATAAAAATATACTATTTTATTTTATATATTTTWAAATCTTTAATCATACCTATTACGTTCAAAATATCATGAATAAATATTAATTATTGTAGGTAATATCATAATAATATAGTGTTATGGTATTTTTTACAATAACGATTTTAAATTGAATAACATGTTCACACTTGATATTATTGTGTTCATTCTATTGTGAACTTTTGGAATCTGTTGCGTCAAGATATATATGGTCAACACTTAATTTTGGTAAATGGACTTAAGTTATAATTTTTGTATAGTATTATTAAAATAATCAATCAAATAACAAAAGCTTATTATATCTTAACATTAAATTTTGAAAGAGCATCAGCTCTAAATCGTTGAATTGATCAGACATTCCTGTGCATTATTCAGTATTACATTTATTGTAGTTCACTAATATTATAAATAATTTTGAAAATCATGAAATATATTTCTACCAATAGCTTACATTSAACCGAATCATATTCAATTTAGTTATATTTTTCATAGTCCAAATTGTTCAAATGTCCAATTAGTACTCCAGAAAACGAAATTCAAATTTTAAGACTTAAATATTAAATTAAAATGTTCAATAACGTAGTTTAAAAACAAAAAACAAACTTTACTTTTTAATAGGCTAATTATCTCCAATGATGRCAATCCATTTAAAGTATTTTAAACACTATTTTGTATAGGTACGTCTTAAACTTTCATCAGTCTTCATTCAAATTACTTGTTAAAATATTTTCGATTCATACATATTTTAAAACCATGTGATTCATATATTGGTTGTACTTCTAAATCAAAATGTAAGTCATTTTTTCAAAAAGTTTAGAATTCTCAACTACAAAACATTGTAGACGTAGGAAATACTGGTACAAATAATATGTATTTATTTATTTAATTAAAAGATTATGAAAGTCACACGTTTCTGTGTATAATTATATAACTTTTTGTTCGAGGTCTTGAAAGCTGTGTGTTAATTATTTCATACTAAAAGCTTGACATAGACTCTTCTGCGGTTTGGTTTTCATCTCTGATATCAGCTTGAATCAAYAACCACTTACCTAGGTATTTGAATGGGTCATGACGGTAYCTCTTTGACACAATGTACAAACCCTCAACCAAAAGTTTTCCCAGTGATGCTTTGGTTTCTTCGAATAACAGATCCATGACTTCTGTGAATGCCGACTCGTTACTCATTTGCTTTTTAGTCATGTAGTTACCTAGATAATTCACGACGACGATAAACATTTGTTAATACTAATAATATGAGAGTGTAATATGTACGTGATTTGTTTTGACGAATTATTCGAGTCATGACATTAGTGTTTAATGACCCCGTGGGCGACTGATCAACTATTTCAGAGCCGTCTATAAAACACAATATTAAATTCATCGACTGTACAAATATTGAAATGTTGTAACTTATTACAGCTGTCACTAAAATTATCAAAATTAAAATACTGCATCAAAGCCTCGTCTTCAAGTGTTTCATCAGATGAAAAGTTGGGAGTGGGCACCATGTATTTATGTTTSGGTGAAGTTTCTTGTTCTTCACAACATTCTCTGTATCCAAATCAAATTAAATAATATTATTAATGTTTAAGAACGGCTTTCATCACAATATATATTTTTTTTCCTACTAATAATATAACTTTATAGGTATACCTAATATTAAATTAAATAAAATTATTATTATTGATAATAATATAATAATAATATAATTTTTTTATTATTATATTATTGAGTAATATTTTGAATAATCCATCCTGCTAAGCTTATTTAAAATCAAATAATAATAAATTAATTTAAAAAAATAACAAGGAAAGTACGATTTTGTTAATTATTATTAGTACAATATTATGTCGTTTGTACCTATAAGAATAGCATTCATGCTCGACGCCAGTTTGATTTTCATATATGTCATCTTCATTGGAAACGCAGTAGCTCTTATCAACTACTTCTTTTAATGATTTTTCAGATGTTTTGACATTAGGGGCTATATACGATGGCTGCAATTCGGAACCGTTGGCTTTATTATTATCAGGTGTTTGAAAAGATAAGTCATATTCGTGCTYAACAATTTTACTATTTAAACTGGATACCTCGAACGATTCTATACTATTTCGATTCTCTGCTACTGTGCTTTCAGTTATACTTTCCTGTATATTACTGTTTTCTAATTCTTTCTCTTCTGTTTCTTCAATTTGTCGGACACTTTTGAACGATTCGTTTGCTGAAAGGAGTACGGTTCTTTTTTCTTCAACGTAATCGTCCTCTTCGGTTTCATGGTCGGTAATTTCTTGGATAGTATCTAGATATCCCATCGATTCTGCTTCATTATAAGTCTTACTCAATACKTTTTCCAACTCCGTATGAACTGACGGAATGTGATCATCGTTAACCATTGAGTTAACAATAGTATTAGACGATTTATGAAATGTTTTTCCCAACCATTCCGGTGATGTAAAAATTTTCATTATTTCTAAGTCCTGCCTTGAATGATTTCTATTGTTTATAATATTCTCGTGTTCTTTTT